ACCAAAAGCAGCGAAGAAGACTTCCCGAGCATGCATGGTTGCCATGGTCATTCTCCGCGGTGGATTTAGCAGCAGAGGTGGGGAGAGGCAGGGCGCTGGCTCTTTTTCTCCCTCCCAGAGGCAAGCGTGTGCTCCTGCTGTAAATCTCCCCGGTTAGTCCAGCAGATGAAAACACCCACCCTCAGCCTCTTCCAAGGGATGAGGGAACCGTGCGGCAGAGTTTCCTTTAGAATTTTTCTTCGCCGGTCAACATGTCCGTTAAAGTTTACATCTTCCGGACAAGATTATAAAAGTGCCGGTCAAGGGTCTTCTTTGTTATTTATTGAGCTTTAAAACAAATGAATAACAACTCTATATAATAATATAACAATAATACACAGAGTCTCTCTTTCCCCCCCCTCCCACTGACAGCCCGTCAGTATTTTTTTTATCAGGAAATTATCGTATAGGGCGTAATCACGGAGCCGTTTGGCCCCCCAGAGCGTTGCGTCCGCAGATCTACCCACCTTGGGATCCGTTATCATTATCTGAGTTTCCGGGTTGGCCTCGTGTGGCCGGACCGTCTATATGATAGAAAACTGTAGCGGATAGGACCCGTTTCGTCTGGCTAGTGCACGAGTCTTACACACTGCACTGCACAATCAGTTTAACCCGTTACAGGAGAGTGCAGAGTTGACATAGCTTTATAGGAATGGTGCATTCACACTTGACAAACATCACAGTTTAATGCTGATGTTCGGAAAATTCCACCACTATGTTCAGGCACATTCAATAGACCCAAGGTTAGAACAAAGACACAGATGTGAGTGTTTTCTGAAAGAAAGTAGAGTGGCTACATCGCAGTTTCCATGGTCTGATTGTCCTGTGTTTTATGAGCAGGATTTTCTCCAGACCTTCCTGACCTTGATAAGACAGCTGGTCTTGCTTCATGTGTTTAATGAGCTGCTGTTGCTTTAACACTCACATAAGATCATCACACACATAGCTAAACGAGTGCCTCCATACACAGACACATAGTTAAACCCGGCGAGCATCAGCACTGCATATGTTTCAGAGCTCTTTGGTTGCATTAATCTTCTGCTTATTTAACATTTTGCTTTTTCAAAATCATCTAAAGTGACAACTGAGAGGGAAAAAGGAAGGCGGCTGGCAAAACATCTAGTCTTTTAAGATAGAAAGTTGCTTACAGTAGTAGAACTAGATTTTTGGTAGCAGTTAACAGCTGTAAACACATTAACACAAAAGGTGATATTGGGGAACATGTTAACTAACGGCTAAGAAACAACACTACCTTCATTTGGAGACATGTTGATTAATGGGAGTCCAATATTTAGTCTGTTCTTGCCTTTTTGTTCTGAACAAACTTCAGACTGGCTTGTTAACCGCTCAATGCTCCACTATGTTGATCATGTAGAGGCTAACTTTGTCTTTCTAATATCACACTGCATACAGTGCTCACTATGTTTACCAGATCTTTTACGCCCCAAAGACAGCTGTAATGTTTTGGCCTGACAACCAAGCTGAAAGATGCTAAAATGCCTCAAACATTGTTTCTATGTTCCCTCGGATCAGAATTCCACTTTGATATTCTTACACTAACATCCCATTCATCATTCGTTCACCCAACTACCCCAACTAACAACTGCAACAAGTGCTAGCTAATCAGAGGCAGATTAGGGTGGGTCATGCCTCCACCATAGTAGGGAAAGAAATCAGGAATTCTGCATATAGTAAGCAATTTGCTTCTTTTGTTGTAGGGATTTGGAGATATTTGGGTTCTTGGTCCAGTGGGACATTGGGCTTTCAGGATTATAGGTTTGCTCAATCAATGGGCAATCGCTACATTTCTACCTATGTGTTAATGTTTTTGTCGCTGTATGTGAGTTTTTGTTTCCATTGGCCAACGAAGATATTGACGGAATATTGGGCCTAATATGGATTGAAAGGATTAGGGGCTCAAGAAACATTGGCCTGTCTCCGGTTATCACCTGTGGTGCGTCACTACGACCAACACTTTGCTCGTTAAACATGCTCATTAGGTGTCCTTCCAATGTAATGATTAGTGCATCTTTAAAACTTTTTTAGGAACATCATGCATTATTAATCTTTCATGCTGCTACAATATTTCCAAATACTTCTCTTCACTTGTTTGTTGTTTTCTAGGGTTAGGTTTAGCAATAAGCAATTGTTAGCATGGCATATGTTTTTGAGTGCTGTCTACATGACATGACGGTTGGCTTGAACAAACTGCTTATTTCCCAACGATAAAAACATGGGTGCATTCCTTTAACACAGGTGCTTCGTCCCCTGAGGAGCTTGGCCTCCACACCTGCTGGTGTTGGAGCACATTACGCTGAGCCCTGCTACAGGAAATGAAGAGACCTGGGTGAGACTGATAAAAAGAGCGGGACTTTTCAGCAGCCAGAGCGGTCGGGGTCAATAGTTGCATGTCATTTATCGATGTCAGGCTTCTCCCCACTCTGAATGCTAATCACACACTGATACGACAATACGATTTGACTTGATTAAAACAGGCCATTAGCATAGAACGTAGCACAATAGTGGGAAATCGGCCCTCTTTCGTCGATAACACGCTCATTCTGTGGCTGTTTTCTTGTGTCAAGAATACAGCTGGACGTCCTAATTAGTGGTCAAGTCTTAAGCATGTTACAAGCTTAGAAAATAGCGAATTGGTGCGTCGTGTTTCTTCATTGAGCTTGTTTTCTGCCATTGTAGTACGTATGTTTTGTCGTGATCACAAAGCTGCTACTCTGTCATTGAAACCAGGAACTAGTTATTGATCAGCTTTCGCTCCAAGGTTCCGCAGGGGGGTGGGGTGAACCAGTTAACCACCTCTCCTCTGGGAGATGACTTATCATTTGGCAGGGAGCAGCGATGAGAATTTTAACTGCGGTAATCTCTGGATTGAAGATTAAGCGCCATGTGGGGTGATGACTCTCCTCTTTGTCTTTTTTTGTTGTTGTCTGGATGGGGATCTGCTCGCTTTAACTTATCGCTCTGCCTCATTTCTCCAGGGCAGTTCCCCGCCCTTATCAACACAGCTCCATCTACATGGAAATCAAAGCCTTTCGCAGAAGTGGAATACGATTAGGGAGGGGGAGAAAAATCTAATCTCCCCCCTCCTCCCTCCCCTCTTTATTTGTGCTATTAATGCAACCTACTAAGAGCCTGAACAACAACATACATACTCTGTTGTTGTGAAGGTGGGTGGATGGATGGATGAACAAGGTGGCACCACAGCGATGAGTTGATGCGTCACTCGTGAAACATTTCATCTGTGAGGCTTCTTTTTGTCTGTGGGCCTTGAAAATGTGGATTAGTGCTCGCTTCACAGGATCCAGCTGCCTGACACTGACCTCCTTTGTTTTTTTAATAACCAAAGAGTAGAGTCCTGTGTGCGTGTGTGTGTGTGTGTGTGTGTGTGTGTGTGTGTGTGTGTGTGTGTGTGTGTGTGTGTTTGCGTGTGTGTACACAGTGTCAGGGGTGGCCGCTAAAGGGAGGGCAGGTTTCAGAGGGGATTAGAACCCACAAAGCAGCCTCCCTCCCCAGTAAACAAAACGATATGGTAGGCCTACTGTACTTTGTGTGTATGTGTGTGTGTTTGTGTCTGTGTGTGTGTAAACGCATAATGGGCTATGCCGGTCACACCAGACAAAAAGAGGAAGACCGAGTCTATCTGTGAAAGCAGCGGGATTAAGCCATGCTCAAGCCAAGAGATACATGTCAATAAACCCGCTAAGTGTGTGTTGCATACACAACTGTAAACACACACTGCACTTGTCCGGCAGTGGGGGAGGGGGGCACCCCAACACTGTTGTTTTCATTTGTAATCCGTGGGATGGAGCAACGCCAGCGATGCATCAATCACACTCAGCAGCTGCAACACAAACAACAACAAAATGAAAAGAACAAACTTTACTTTTTTTCAACACGTGTGAACTCTTTGGTGCATCATCAGATATGACGGACATCCTTTAGTGATGCACGATGTGAAATAACTTCAAAAAACACAAGAATGAAGACGTAAGCAACAAAAACAATCACTTATTTTGATCTGCCGGAATGTCCCAGACAGTCTGGTGCACAACCCCTTTGCAAAGTGCCCCCTGCCAACCCCACCTCTCTTACTGGTTGCTATCTGTTTGAGAAGCTTGTTGTTTCGCTTTCAGGACCCCCGACTGTTTCCCCATAATGCACCAGCACTTCTACGCTGCACCCCGTTGCGGCCAATCTGAAGCCACTGGTGTGGGGCCATTCACAAAGGTCAGGGCCTTCATACAGTAGGTGTGTGTGTGTGTGTGTGTGTGTGAGGTGTGTGTGTGTGTGAGGTGTGGGGGCATGACCTGGATGTAGTAGCCCCTTCGAGGTGGGGGGTCATCATGCCCCCACGTGCCTTGTACCACAGATTGATGCCGGCTCACTCCCCTACACCTTTTCACCCCAGCTGGTGGAGGTGGGGGGGAATTGGAATCGATACGGCCTATGATGAGGAGGCTGGGGTGGGACGGGGTGGGGGGAGGGAGAGCGCTGGCTTGACGGATGGGTGGTTAAAGGGGGGCGATCAATTACCCTGATGGATTGCTTTTTGGGGGATTTCAGATAAGAGACTGATCCCGGCTCCTTTAAGACCTATTGTCCATTGAAGGGGATGTAAAAGGGTCATTTTACATAACATCCTGCGAGGCTGGAATATCACTCTCTTACATCTTTGTTGTAGTGAGAAGTGGCAACTGGTCCCTCCTCCCTCCACCCAATCCTTTATTTTTTAGAACATTTTTTAATCCCCTCCCTCCCCCCTCCCTGCACACATTCTCCCTCTAACGGATCCCCTCTCTCTACATTATTCTCTGTGCATTTAAAAAAAAAAATCTGTCACCGGGGGCCCAGTTACCCCGCCCACTCTCCTCATTTTTGCCGGAGTCTAGAATAGTGGAGCCAAGAAATAGTTAATCTCTCCGCCTGCTGCTATGATTGGTCGCTGTATGCAGCCCTCAGCCTCCTTGAATGAGAAACGGAGGTAACCAGGCAACTTCAGAGCCGAAGAGAAGGGGCAGGAAAAAAAGAAAATAGAGCTTTTCACCGGATATTAGCATTGTGGAAGAATTTTGAACATGTAAAAAGCGAGGCAATGTGATTTCACCTTGGAAAATGGAATTAACAAATGGATTTTCTTAAGCACGCTCCCTGCCTCTCTCTCCATCTCTCTCTCTCTCTCTCTCTCTCTCTCATTGGGGGGAAAATAGAGCGCTCAAATGAAGGGGACACAGATGTGGATTAAAACGCATAAATGGGACACTCCGGAGAAGCATCCGCTAAGAAAAGGTAAGTGCAGTTCTGCTATTAAAGGAGTGTTTTAAAAAGCGGTGAAAGTGTCAGAGCTGCTTAAGGATGCGAGGCAGCTCCGCGACATGTCAAGATTTATGGATAGGATGCCTTGGCCGCGGAATGAAAATGGGTTGCGGAGCAGTCCGCTATGGATGACTGAGAAACAGTCTCATATGTGATGAAAATGCACCTAACGAGATCAGAAATTGTGATCATGAGGATGACCATCGATGGTTGCTTGGTGGATGTGAACGTGGAGTCCTTTAAAGCGTAAACGCCGGTCGCCTGTCAAATAAGCTGCTGTCCCATATTGAAATTGCGCAATAATTGGAAATATGGTTCTGAATATGATTTCGATGCATGACTTCCCTCGGTTATGTTGCTTTTTGTGCAGATAAGTATCAGGAAAAGCTTTGAGCTTCTCCAGCCACGTCTGCCCCCCCCCCCTCTCCCTCCCTCCCTCCACAAATATTCAAATGAAGAGATGTCCTGCTGCAACACCAGTAAGTCATCTTCAATCGACTGCTTAACCGGCTCTGATGCTGAGTGGATGATGACGCATTTGTTGATACATTTATTGATCGGTGCTCAGAAACTGTTCGAAAATGCTCGGTGGGCTGCAGCGGGGGGACCTGTGGATGGGAGCGCGCGGTGGCACCGGGCTGACCGGCAGAGCAGAGCCGGGCTGCCTCAGACAGCGCACAGGGCCTGGAGTGGGCTTTGGCTCTTTATTACCGATCATGGGTCACTGCGGTGATAAAAAAGAATCCTGCTAATTGTGGATTCGTCTGATCATGGTAGAGGGTCTGAATTGCGTTAGGGCATGCAGTTGTTGCGCCCACATTTGGATTTTCCCGATGAGAAATGGATCGATTTCATTGGCCATAGATTTGATTAGCATACTATTTAATTCACTTTCATTTTACTTTGTAAGTATTTGATTTAGATTTTATGTTACCATATATTGACATTATTAAAGTATTTACAGTAGGCATAGTGCTGTTAATTACTCATAATTACCTCTTTGAAAAAATAATATATAAAGCAAAATGGATTATTTGCCAAAAAAATAACTTCTTTAGGTAATCTTAAAGTTTTTCAATTTGAAATGCAGGGGATATGATTAAAGGATTGCCCACACACAGCTCTAAACATGGCAACAGGCAATACCTTGGCTAGCAGCTAACGGTGCTAACAGTGAAAACATTGCAAACAACAGCACCAGTGCTATCAGAACTAATGGTGTAAATCTTAGGGGGAACCAGAGGTTGGGCCATACTTTACCAGTGAAAACAATGTGGGTCGCTACATCATTATCAGTTGATCTCCTTATGACTGCAGTGCAGGTTGGCGGCTGTTAGATATCCACAAACAGGGACTAGCGTGCAATAACATGAAAACACTAGGTTTTGTGGGGTTATAGGGTGTTTAACCCCTTCCTTCCTTTCATGATTATTATTTTTAAACCTATTCAAATCCCCCAATGGTTTTATAAGCCAACATGACCAGTTCAAATGCACAATTCAGTGCTTGGCCATATGTCTATCAGCGTGCACTGAGTGCTCATGTAACACCAGGCCTCAATGGGAAATGGCCTCGGCTATTGCTGTGGAAAATCACTAACAACACAGCTAGCAGCTATAAAATTAGATGCTGATGAAATTAACCACATCTTGCCCAGAGGCTCAAATGGCCACATGTTGTGTTTATGTCGCTGCTCGTCGGGATGTATGCAAAGCTCGGCGTTAACTTTTTGACATTGGTGCCAAAGTTCATTGGTGACTCCTGCCAATGGTCCAAACTGCCTATAGTAATCTCCTTATAGAGGATGTTCTGCAACAGATCCTAAGCTTCACTCACTGGCTTGATTGTAGGACACATTTGGTGAACGTGCACACACACGCAAGCATACATTACGATTTCCAGTTGTCATCCCAAGACAGTTCTTTGCAGCCCAGTGTGATTTGGGGGGCTTAAGATGGAGCTGAACAAAACACTAGAGAGCATTAACTTCTCCAGTATGGGCTTCTTTGTTGGGTCTCAGTGGACTCAAGACACTTAATTTAGCTCCTGACAGCAGAAGCTGCGGGTGGATATGTGAGCTATATCTTATCCGATTAAGACCGTAATGCCTTTTCCCCTTTCTCAATTATTGTAAAATGGTGAAAGTGGTTGGGTTATTTTGGTTTGTTGTCCCAGCACAATTGCAACAAAGCAGGGACAACATTTAGGCTGTTGTTGTCTTGAACTCTTGCGATCCATAGGGCTGTCTCGCCCATTCTCCTTAGTGTTACCTCTTGCCTTTTGTATTGCTGAAAGGCATCTGTGTTTCACATTTGTTTGTTCCTTTCATACTGCGTTGGCATTACCTCAACTTGAACTCCCTTAAGATTTCCCAAGTGCTCTGAGATAATGCATCTAACGAACAGGGGGGTTACGCCAACCTCAATGTAGCGTTTCAGCATTAGACGCACGATTGCCGGAGTGGCCTAAATCTTTCATAAAAGTAGCTTTTAATGAGCTCACAAGATTGTGTCTGAGTTCTCATTTTGCTGGTGGCCTTATCACATCCAGTCTACTCATTAATGGAGATGTCGCCCCTGGCAGTGGCAGGTCAGAGGTGATCCGGGTTGACTCCGTTGAACAAAAGGAGAAGATTGCTCAGATAGCGGAGCATGCGGGATGCTGGATGATGCTCATGCTCCACTGGGAGTGAAATCAACATGACAGGTGCATCTGAAGTTGAGAGTGCAACGGGAGGGTGGCGGCAACCATGTGTCAGAAGCAAAGTCTCTTAACTTACAAGCTGTAAAACAAGCTCAGAGTAGTTTGACATTTTGGGGAATACTTTTATTTTTATAAGGATTTTCTTATCTACCACTGAACAAAAATATAAACGCAACACTTTTGTTTTTGCTCCCATTTTTCATGAGATGAACTCAAAGATCTAAAACATTTTCTATATAAACAAAATAACCATTCCTCTCAAATATTTTTCACAAATCTGAAAAAATCTGTGATAGTGAGCACTTCTNTCCGAAAACCAGTCAGTATCTGGTGTGAGGGTTAGGGTTAGGGTTAGGGTTAGGGTAATGTTGTGAATCGAGTGGCCCATGGTGGTGGTGGGGTTATGGTATGGGCAGGCGTATGTTATGGACGATGAACACAGGCCACTCGATTCACAACATTACCCTGACTGGTTTTCGGACCCCCCCAGACCCCCACAATAAAGCAAAACTGCACGTTTCAGAGTGGCCTTTTATTGTGGCCAGGCTAAGGCACACCTGTGCAATAATCATGCTGTCTAATCAGCATCTTGATATTCCACACATGTGAGGTGGGATGGATTATCTCGGCAAAGGAGAAGTGCTCACTATCACAGATTTTTTCAGATTTGTGAACAATATTTGAGAGAAATGGTTATTTTGTGTATGTAGAAAATGTTTTAGATCTTTGAGTTTATCTCATGAAAAATGGGAGCAAAAACAAAAGTGTTGCGTTTATATTTTTGTTCAGTGTAAGTATGTGTATATATGTATACGTACATGTTTGTATATATATATGTATGTGT